CCCTGGCGGTCCCACCGCGGGCGCCGCTGGAGGAAGAGGGTGCTGGGCTGGGCAGCCGATGGGCCCCAGGGCTCTGACGGGAGCCTTGGCTCCCCTGCAGCCGGACGGAGCTCGAGGCGGCGGGAAGTGGCAGGGAGGATGCACGGTCGCTCTGTAGGCAGATGCCGGGTTTGTCTTGGCCCAGGGATTATTTACCCAGTCCCTTCACTGGTTCCCATCCCCATCATATTTGCTATTAACTCATCTGTTTTGGCAGGTGCAGGGCTGACCTCAAGCACGAGCGGAGAGAGTGGCAGGGGGGGCCCACCGGGATGGTGCCTCCTCTCGATTTGCCTTCGGCAGCGGAGCAGAGCTGCCGGCCCGGCCGTTTGCCGCAGCAGGATGCGGCTGCAGGGAGGCTGTGACTCATGTCCAGCGTTCCCAAACCAAACCCTCCTGGCCTTGCCTTAGCCCAACCCTTCCAGTCTATGGATGGACCCATGGAGCAAGTTTTTCTCCCAGCTGGAGCATCCTCCCTTGGCATCACACCCATGTAATGGGGAATAATCTCGTCCCTGGCGAGCTGTCGCAGCACAGGACATGTCTGCAGCTGATTACTGCCCTGGGAGTACCACCATGGTTCCCTGGCTCTGCAACAGGTCTGGGGGTGTCAGAGCTTCGGAGGTGCCGGGCAAAGAAAGCCAACAGGCTGGTGCCAAGGTGCCAGAACTGCTGAGGGGCTGGGACAAGCTGACATCACTCACCTAAGCAGTTGTGGCCATCGTGTGCCAGGCGGAAGCCGTCGTAGCAGGTGCAGCGGTAGTTGCCAGGGATGTTCACACACTCGTGGACGCAGCCTGCGTTGTCCTCTCGCTCACACTCGTCAACATCTGGGGAGAAGGAGGGCAGGAGATCGAGCTGCCCTGGTGGCGAGTGGCCAACCCACCACATGGGTGCTGCTCCCCATCTCCAGCGTCTTTCTGACCTGGCTGATATTGTGCCCTGTGATCTCCTGTTCTCTCTGCCTATTCCAGCAGGTCCCCAGCTCCATTATCACCTGCAGCATCCCTCCACACCCTGCAAGAACACCCTTGTTCTCCCCAGTCTAGGCCCTGGACCCCCAGCCAATGCACTGTCTTACAGCCTTGGCTGGGAACACACAAGATTTCCCTGCGTCTCCATGGCGAAGTCCTGCTGTGCCTGGAGCGCTTTAATCCCTCCGCTATTTGTACTCGGCCCATCCTGACCCTGGACCTGCTTTGAGCAGAGCTGGAATTTTATCCCTGCCCCATTCCTCCTTTCCTGCCGCTGCTCCTCCAAGGAGACCATTTTGTTTCCATTCCTCACTCAACTGCATATACCAACATCAATATCTACATTTACATCTATATCTGCATCTATGTTGATGTCTACATTATCTGTATTGCTGTATCTTATGTTTGTTTATCATGTTTTAGCTGCTAACACAGCTCTGCAACTACAGGGTCAGAAATCTTGCAGGAGAAAAATCCCAGCTTTGTTTGAAACACCCCAAGTGACCTTCCTGGGGCTGGGCAGTCCAGCCTTGCAAACATGATGGCTGTCACCATCACCAGCAAGGGCAGTCATAGTCCTCTCTGTCCCCATGCACTTCGGTGTCAACAGGACAGGGGTTTGGGGCAGAAAAGGGGAACAAAAGGTTTGCAATGGGCTGGTGAAAACAAGTGGCCTTTTTGCTAGGGCAGGGGACAGTGCTGATGAGCCATCACCAGCCTGGGGCTGTTGCTCGTCAGTGGGACTCTGGGTCCGGCTCCAGCAGTGGCAGTGTGTCCCTACCTTTGCAGTGCTTCCCGTCACCGGTGTATCCGGACTTGCAGATGCACTTGTAGGACTTGGGGGTGTTCTGGCAGATGGCGTCGATGTGGCAGTTGTCGGTGCCCTCCACGCACTCATCGACATCTGCAAGAGGACAGGTGGGGAGAGCGATGGGGAGAGAGACAGGGAGCTCTACCCCATCCCCATGGGACCCACAGCCCATGGATCAGAGAGGGTCGAGGGAGCAATGCTGCTGCTTTGCTTATGAGTGGCTTCATGGCACCCAGCCCCGACGCAATGGGTGTCAGGCTCACTCTGGGACACGGTGAGTTGCTGGGTCTGCTCCCGAAGAGCACGGCCTGTACCCCCTCTAGTACATGTCACCCTGAGACTCCTGGCCCTTACATGTGTCTGATGATAGGGAACACTGCTCAGGCACCCCTAGTCCAGGCTGGAGCCAGCCCTGGCAGAGGTGAAAGTCTCTGTCTCCAATTAGCTGTTTCCTGAGTCGACCAGTCACCCAAATAATCGTCATCACTTTCTATTCCTAGGTGCTGAGGAATGTGCATGAATTAGTAAGGACCACACGAAATAA